TTGTGTGCTTTAGGTTACCCGTTCATTACGCGTCTAATGGCTTCCCTGAGCAAACCACACTCGAGTGTCTGCTGACATTGCAGATTAATTTAGGATCTTCTGCTAGGCTTGAGCACCTAAACGCGAACAGCTGAGTTTATTAAACAACTAACGCGGACACCAGTGAAAAAGCCTCAGTGTTCAGTGCTGCATGTGTAAATGCGGACTCGTCTTACGCTCCGTTCGCCGCTGTACAGAGTGCATTGCTGGACGTTCTAGCTTCTGTTTTTTGGGCATGTGCTCGCTAAAACAAAATGTATCGTCTTAAACTTACTGACTGCTTGTTTCATCAAGCCGTCTTTTTTTGAATTCTTTCCACCTTTTCCAATCCTTCGCTGTAATTGCTCTGTCCCCCATCAGGGTTATGATAAGCAATTATGTACTGATAAGTACAGGGATTTACCGAAACTCTGTGCCGCATATTAGCTTATGATGTTGACAGTGCCAAGGTAGACATTTTAAAGCTGGCTTATAGTCAGTTTCGCTGTTATAGGATGAAAAGGAACAACTCAAACATATTGCAAGCACTGTCTAATGTAGCTAGAACATCATGCAATGATGGACAGTTTACTGCTTAGGAAGCACGTTGATGCGGCAATCTCCTGCAAGAATTTTGATACTTATCCTTGTTAAACAACAACTATTTTGGTCAAATCCAACAACACCAACATTTCAAAGAAAGCCTTTTTAGACTGCCCAACTATTCGGACATTTGGTGCAGCCCCTTCCACAAGACAGTTGGTAAGCAATACGTTCTACATTGTTTGTTATATTGAGGATTGGAACTCGCCTGTGTTGCAGTAGCAGATTCTGCCACAAGTGGTGCGGTTGCAGTCCTACCCAGGGAGGGTGAGCGCTGCTTCCTTTTCACATCCTTCCTCTGAGCAAGACAAGCAACAAATACTCATCTTGTTATAGCTGTAATGTATAGAACTATTCCATTACACTGCATGTGATCACTTCCAATCTGCATTCGATTGAACAGTGCACACATTAATAAGCAAACATTCACCCTTTTCATAGCAGGCAAGCGTTTAATTGGTTAAGTCTTCCCGTCTTTTTTTTTTCGCTTTTTATTAGGAATGAAGTACTTTTGTTTAGACCTCGTTGTCGGAAACCTTCGAGTGACCTTGAGCCATAAGCCGGCACCATTATACAGGCACTCAGACATGAATAAAAGAAGGCATCCAGACAATCAGCGAAGAGAGCTTTGCAGTGCGAATTTTGCCACCTCTTCAGGAGATGGTGCTATGCTGCATGTCACAGTATATGTCACAGTATACGGCTCCACTACATGGCACACCAGCATCTGGCCTGTAAATGCCCAGGCCTGCGTCGCATTGTAACCTTAATATGCTAGCTGAAGCCAGAGATTTATCCCATAAGGCAACTGGAAACAATGGTGTCCCGTGCACAGTATGATGTGACATGGCGTGGTGTGCCCTTGCGAACATGCTCTACAGCCATGTTAATTAACATTTGGGCTAGTATCATCTCCAACCGATCTGCTTTGCTGGAAGCCATTTCATGCTTACATTTAAGCAAGAACTTTCAACCATGAAACCAAGTGGATGCTTTGAGAGTTTAAGTTGGAAGCCTCCACTGATGTTTGTTTTATTTCAAATGTTATTTTTTTCTGTTCGGTGGCATCATTCATGATAGCATTGTTGGCCGGTCTATATACTTTTGGGCATCTGCTGATAATGTGGTGTGCATTTGTTTTGAATAAATTTTCCACTGTGAGTCCGCACTGATTTTTTCTTTCCTCTTCTTCCCAATTAAGTTGCACTCTGTTCTGCAAATCACACCAACTCTCAAAACTACCTGCGTTGCAGTGATAGGATATACAAAAAATAAAAAGATGATAGATTTGTTTTTCGTAGGAGTTGTTGATAACACATGACACTACGCCATCATATAATCTTCAAGCTTGACAGGGATGGCACCACCATCTACGGGCGTAGCAATGAGTTACAGTGACAATGAAAAGAAATGCAAGCAGCACAGCACAATAGTGGTCAAAAATAATTGTTGGGGCTTCTACCCTACTATGATACGATTATGAGACAAGCCAATGTAGAGGGCTTGGAAAATTTTAACTACTTGCAGTTCCAAAAGAGATACTCTAGAAATTAGGAGAAATTACTAACATCGAAATTATAATAGAAAGACACGCAGGGTTTCCACCGACTTTTCCAGTGAAATTTTCCAAAGGACGAGTGAAAAGTCGTCAAAAGGCACTATTTTTTTCAAATTCCCCAAATAAGCCGCCACTCTAAATATGCGTGACGTGACTAGTAATGAAAATTTCTAATTATATAGTCTCCTGCAGTACCATACTATCCCTAACACCCAATTTATATTGACGCTTTTTAATGCCAGTTGCATCACCCGCTTCACCATGAGAGCCCCGAGAAAGCGCATGCATGCACCAGGAGTGTCCCTGAATGCTAGCGGAACGGTCTGTTTCAGTTGTAGCGAATGCAAGTCGAGAAGTCGCTACAACAAGAGAAGGACGGCGTGCGTAGCCTTCTTGCAGATTTGAAGAATCTCATTGTGTCCAATAATAGAACAACTTAGGTACAAACCAAATGAAATAAATTTGAAAAAATTCCTTAACCATGGCAATGCCCACATTAAGCTTACTGTGCGGTTTTGCTTATGCTACACATTTGCCTCAACACAGTTTCTGAAGGCTGCCTGAAGAAGCCGATTTCCTGGCCGGCCCGAAAAATATGTTAATAACAAAGTTAAATTCTACACAACAAATAATGAATACTGGAGCAGTGAAGAAGTCTACCAGCTATTCATGACAGTTGGAGCTGTGGTCAGAACGGCCTAACTATTCCCTAGCTACTTCAGAATCAAAACTTTAAAGAAGCCTAAAGCTCTTAAATCACCTAAAAAGCTTGTAGCACCACTTCGCACCACACGAAGCAGTCGGCTGACTGGGAGATTGCTGGCAGATGCACCAGTGCGCCAGTGCCTCCAAGATCTAGGCGAATTAAGATGCACACGAGACACAGGACAGACATTCTGAATTGCACGTGAAGTGAGCCTTCTATAGGTAGGTCCTAAACTATGAAAAAAAAATATTGCTGCCCATTTGTTTTGAAGACACTGAGTACAGAATTCATAACTCAGTCGAGATCTAAGCTGAAAATCGCCGAAAATTCGCCATGTCGCCATTCACGATGTTAGGTCACTACCAACCTCTCAAATTCCCCAATTAGGCGGAAAGTAGCTACCAGTGGGAGCCCTGAAAACATGACTGTACCGATTGATTTCACATATTTTTGAGTAGTTGGCTGTATTTCTGAAAGATCGTATGCAATGAGCGACTGCATGCCAGCATGAGCCGTGACATCGAATCCACCGCTGCTGATGCAAGGTGAACGTGTTCCTGTCCTGATATTTCCCTTTCTTCCCTGCTCCTTTACATCCTGCTTTCTCCCTTCCATAAAGACGCTGAGACATGCTACCCCACTTTTAAGTGTGGCAGCTTGGGCTAGTTGGTATGGCATGACGATAGTTATAGCGCGAGAACAAAACGACGACACAGAGACAAGAAGGTTCTTCGTGTCCTTCTTGTCTCTGTGTCGTCCTTTTGTTCTCGCGCTATAACTATCGCCACTTTTAAGGCTTCATACTAGTCATGAGGACTATTTGCTGCTGCTGCCATCCAAAATGATCTTAGGAGCCTTACTGGAAACTGAGCGGGTAGGACATGGGCGATGGATGGCACTGTTGGCACGCCTGTTTCCGGTACATAAAACGCCACCAAACATCTCTTCCTATAGTTCCCAGTATGGTCACTAGACAAGGCTGTTAGTGAAAAATGTACTTGATTTGTTATTTTCTATCAGTTTTTAAACGAAATCTACAAAGTTAAGCCCCCAATTTTCAGTTTGGCAGACAGTCGTGGCAGCAAAAATTTTGTTCAATATTCCTTTAATGTGCACCTAAATGTAACGACACAAGCCCCAAGCATTTTGCCTCCACTGAAATGTAGCTGTGCCAGGTAGGATTCGATTCCATGACCTTTAGATCCGAAGTTTTAGAGAAAAATGCACAAGGCACCACTTATATGGAGACTAGTTTGCACAAGGCTAACCCTTAGAGTGCAACTGGATAGGGACGCAATGCTTACAGCAACGTAATGTAAAAGGACACTCAGGCCGGATCATCAACTATATGGCGCGGAAAGGGCAAGACCGATTAAATACACTTCCCTGTGATGCTATTGCAGGCGTTAGAGAATCTCTCCCACAGGGGCTAAGTGCCGGACACAAGCAAGCTAGGCGAGGGGGGAAGGGGTTTCTTATCGACGGCCAATGAGAAAGGAGTGATGCAGCAATACACACTAGCACGATGCATTGCACCATGGCCAGGGCCACCTCATTGCCATATAAAAATGGCTTTTGGTGATTGAACTGTGGGAGGCGGTATTGTTTCTGACACGGTAAAGCCCCATAACCACTAGACCACCATTATGGGTGCATTAGTGGTCTTCTGCTTACATTTGCTTTATTGCTCTATTCCCTTGGTAGAAATAGAAAGAAGCTAAAGTACTTGATTCTGTTACAAATGACCGCAGTGTCTCTATACAACAAAAATATGCTGTGGGGGGGGCTCATGGTGCGGTATGGCAAGACGGCCATGCAGTTTTTTGGCATAGTACCACTGTGACAAAAAGAACTGCAAACAGTGCAGCACCTAAGCACTCTGTTGTTTAGATTTATTTTGAAGTGCCTCTAAACTGGGTGGTATGAAAAGGCACTATGGCCATACATGAGAGAATCAAGGATGGCTCTGTCATTTTTTTAATGCCGCAACCTCTCAAGATGTAGTCACTCTATTCATATCTCTTTAGGGTTTTTCCTGCCCTTGTTGGATCAACAGCAAAGTCAACTGCTCATACCTTAGAAAACAAGCTTTTACAATCTTATGCATTCACTTGCCTCTTGTGGTCTACCAGTTGACCTGCTTCTTTGGTCACAAGGTGGCAGCAGCTGGCTATTGCCCAGAGGGAGGACATCGTACTGCACGCATACACAACTTATGCATGAGCTAAACCAGTATAAACTTCTCCAAAGTATCAATCATGGCACAGGTATTTTTCATGGGTTTATAAAGCTAATTTAAAAGGCCCTAAATGACTTTTCAAGACAATTAAAAAGTGGCTTCGTGACTGGAATACGTATGTTGCCTGACAAATATACTTCTTGACGATATATTTCAAGTATAGTACAGGCAATAAAAATGCACAAATAAACAGCTTTAAATAAAAAATAAAATAAAATCAATTTACAGAGGTTTAGACACCAAATTTCTAGGCTCCACAAAACCTGTTATAAGCTTCTTCTGCATGCAAGGACACTCTGTACACAGTGCTGGGCACAGCAATGTTTAGAACATTTTTCAACCCTTTGCAGCCCAAAACATTGTCTTACTATTCATCCGTTCTGGTACAATAGTAAGGAAAGCAAAGCATTTAAGTTGACTTACTTCTTCGCTGATAGGGCATAATGCGGTGAAAAAAAAAACACTCATGTGAGTCATTCCCGATAGAATTATGTTTTGTTGTCCGGCAGAAGCCGACAATAGACTGTGAAGGATTGAGCGAGAACATGGCTTGAGCGAGAGATTCCAATACTGTGGCCAGTGAGCTTCTGGCTTGCGCACATGACTGTCCTCAGCACGCAAATTCTAATTTTATTTATAAGCACAATCATGAGCTACACAGGCATGACTAGTCTGAAGCATTGTCTTCAGGAGGTACCCCACGTGGTCGCCATATCGTGAAACATAATAATGAAGCAAGAAATGGAGTTTAGAATTGGCATCCAAATTGTAGTCATTTTGGAGACTGGTATCTGACGTGTTGTTGAAATTCCAGCACCAAATCTCCTTCATAAATGGCCCGTGTACGAGATGTCGGAAAGGTTTTCTTTCAAACTGCAGTGTTTGCTGAGAATTGCAACTTCTGCTGACAAAATTCTCTGCTGAGGCAAGGATATATCTTTGTGCTCTAGTGCAAGTCTGTCCCCTCTTTCCGTTAAAGGTTTGCTAAAAGAGAGCGCTCGCAGAGATTGTGGCAGCCAACACAAATTCATGATGCAGGTGGCGATTGGTAGACAACACGAAAACCAAAGGTGAGCATCACGTGCATTGGTACTACACCCACTTTAAAATTGCTTTCAAATATTTTCTAGCCTATATTAATTGATATTTCATAAATGATGCATGTGTGTCCTTTTTACCATATTCCTCAAGGACTTCTTGTCAGGGAATTCATAGCTTATATTGCTTAGGCAACCCTTGACAGTGGCACAAAATACCTTTCATGAGAAAGGGAAGAAAGTGAAGTGCTGTTTACCAACTATTTAATGACACTCTCAGAATAGCATGTTATCTTTTAGATAACATGCTATTTTGCCATGTTAATCCATGCTACAAGTTGCTTCTTCACGCACACAGAGAAAGTCTTTTTAATTTTTACCTGTACATTTCTGGTAGTGCCAAAAGGCAGTTGGTAGTTCGCACTTGGCTTTCCTCTCTTTATTTCGCCCCCTTTTTTCTGCAAAATGTATTTTGTACCACAGCCCAGTACATATAAGCAATATCCCATAGGTTATATCACTACAAAAATTTTCTGTCGTACTCGTTTAGGCCAAAGAAAGCATAGGAGACATTATTTTTTATTTAACTGCAGGGTAATAGTTACGACATAAATTGCAAAATATTAAAGCGGACGAAAGGGTACCCTTTTTGTTAGTGGGATCGAAACACAAAATTTTCAATAATTTTTGGAGTTTACATTATAAAACCACCATATAATTATGACAGACATGTAGTGGAGAGCTCAGAAAATTTGGACTACCTGGGGTTCTTCAATGTGCACCTAAATCTAAGCACACAGGCCTCAAGCAGCTGCCATCGAAAACGCAGCCACCACAGCCGGAATTCAATCCTCCACCCTGCAAGTTAGCAGCCGAGTGCGACCCAAAACTTTAAACTTGAAGTGTGTGGGTTCAGATCCCAGACAGATCCCGGATCTGAACAAGATTTATCTAGATGGAAAGAACTAGGGAGAAAACTGGTTTGTTAGTAGCAAGTTCAGATAGGTTCCTTATCCTAAGCCTGAGCATAATGGCTGAAGCGCTATTTCGTTTACAGGGGGAGACCTTGAGTTCTAGCAAAAGTGCTTGGTTAGCTCGTTGTACGAGAAGTCGATCCAATTTGGAACCTCTGCATCACCTTGCATTGTGTCAGCACAGCTGGCATGTCCTCGGGCAGCACTGTGGGCAGTTTGCAGTAGCACCGTTCATTCCTCCCATACAAGCGATCAACTTTCCATAAAGAATTTCCCAGCCCTGTCCACAGGAATGTCTTCTCGGCCATACTTTGCATATAACTTTGAGTTTTGATATAATGAAGTCTATTTGTCAATTTTAATAATTTCATTGCTTTAAAGTGGAAACGGACAGAGAATACAAACTGGTGCTCACCAGTGGATGGGTTTTGTCATATGTCCACCACCTCCAGCACAACATTTTTTCGCAGCAGGTTAGCCAATGCAGCCACCATCATTGCCGATATTGCAGCTCTGAAGGTCAAGTGCTGTCACAAAACAATCACACTGCTACAGTGACTCAATGCAAAGACAGGCATTACACAAACACAAACATGAATGGATGAACAGAAATAACATAGGGTATAGGTTAAGGATTCCGCCGATTGCTTTGCAAATGTAGGCCCACTATACTTGATTCTATTATGTGGCCTTTATGTGAGCCTGGCAAACTTCTTCCCAAAGCTCAAGAGATGCCTTCAGGGAGACTGGTTTTAACGATGTTCTCGCCAACGAAAGGGGCGTCACAGAGTCGAAACGAGGTTAAGGCAGCCGACTCGACTTTTAGGTCAGTTATTGCCGAAAAGAGGTGGTTCCTTTCAGGGGGCCCAGCAGTCAATCCACTCCCATCAATACCTCTTGTCACAATGCACAACCACCTTCCTTGTCACCACAACCTGTGGGGTCTCGAGGTGGCGAGCGCCCTGCTCTTGGAGTGAACGGACACAGCAGATGCGGTCGAACCAAACCAAGCCAACAACTTACATTTATTTAACTACTTTTAGAACACGATAGCATCAGCCAATTATTAAAACATCAATCCTGACCAAAACACCAAGACATCTTTACACAATATTAATCAATAGTCAACGACATGACAAACAAGGTGGTGTCGCTAATGCTCGACTCGCCTCAAGGGCCCCCGGCAGACGGCCCGCGGTGCCGTGCATTGGGGTCCCACTGTGAAAGGCAATCATTCATGCCAAACGCCACCAGCCGAAGAAACTCGCTCAATTCTCTCGTGTCGCCACCAAGGCTTGCCGCCAGGGGGTAATCGCTACCAATCTAACCATGATGATGATGATAGAGGTGATCAACGCTCGCGAATACAACGCCACCTACCGCTCAATAGTTGTGACCCCGACATACGACTTGTGCACGAGACCTGTGCGTCATGCGGTGCAAACAACTTTACAGAGAGTATTAGCATCCCCACAAAGTATTGCAGTTATGTCTAACCGATGTATAGTAATATTGAGGTGGTACAAAAATGACGCTACTATAGTACCTTCTCAGCACCATAAACTGAAGATGCTGCCGGCTACCGGAGCTGCCGTTCCTTTAAGAGCAGCATGGCCAATGCCACTCCCATTTTTGATGCTGTCACTATTTTATCAGACAGGCGGGGACTTGTGTTTTCTATAAATTTTTTGTTTGTCCCCAACATTTCAAGCATTCGTATGGAGAGGGTGGAGGGGAGAGAGTGAGGGCGAAATTTCCCAGGCTACTATCTCATGCATTTCTGTGGAAGCGTGGCATGCAAACTTTTAACCAACACAGCACATGTATTGATGTGCAGACACAGACAAGGACGGGGAAAAAAAAAGGATGCAGTGCAAAGCCCACAAACCCAACCGAAAATGGCAATAAAATTCAGGCATCTATTTTTTTTAAAAGGAGATATTCCAAACCCAGATTTCTTGGTTGTAAGCTACAATGGAACACACACACAGTGTAGCAAGAAATTTTTTTCACCATATAAAGCGCACAAATGTTCTCAGTGCAGCAGCTGCTCGTTGTTATATCCCATATACAATACAGGTGTTGGTATATATAACACAAAACCAACATACACAATTTTAGGCATAATATGGAGATTCTGAAGGTAACAAATATTTTATCATAACAACACACTACATACTGCCAGTAAACATATATTTCCTCATTTGTTGCAGTAGGTGCTACCAATGTAGAGAGCTCAGCGATTGAAACGCGACACTCTGAGTGCGTGGTTATTGACACTTGTGCCACAGGTAAGCGCTTGTGTAAAAGCTGCCACATAGTGTCACACGGAGAATGTTTCTGATGAATCCTGACTGCGTCCTATAAACAGACATTCAGCCTGTGGTTTTTTGCTGGCATTGGTGAAGCACTGCATGTCATGGCTTTCATGACCTGCACTCACGTGCCCGTGAGCACAGAGTGAACGCAATCACTCTGCATCACGAACGCTCTCTTCATACGACACAATGTGCCAGCTCGATTTCACAAGGGTTCATCTGTGGTGCAAGTGTCGACACCTAGGCGCTCAAAGTGCTACACTTCAATCACTAAGCACTCTACAATGACAACACATTGTAACAGCAGGCTTGTCTTGTTCTGAATGAGTAAAAGTATCTGATTAAGCCACAAGCATCCGCGCCCTCACCCTTGAGGCAGAGGTTGTCCGTAAGAGCTTCAGCCAAGGTGCAGACCCCTCGTTACCTAGCGGGTTATTACACAGGCTACATCGTCGCAGGCCCCACAGCAAGTCTAGCCTCAGTGTGCTCCGGCGCAGTGGCCCCTGGCAACCGAGACTCTGCTGCTGCAGGAGCGAGGCCATCAAGGAAGTTGTTTCGCCGCCCAGCTGACAGTCACAGAGGCTGAGCACACGTACATTTTCATTCTCGCACAGGGCACAGCACAGCACTACAAGTAGAACATGCCTTCACAGCCTGGCACAAATTGTGTTTTGGCCACATAGGCACACTAAAGTTTCCTGAAAGTCGGTATGTTAAGTCTATGTCCCGCTCCGGTGACAATTCAATGTACTTCATTCCACTGATTAGGAGCAGTGTAAACCTACCAGACGCCATCAAAGGTATGATGTCGCAATGTTTTATGCGGAAATTTTAAGGTGCCACTGACAGCTTCATTTTCCTTTGGCATGTATTTTCATTTACCAATGGCCTTCTCATGGTAAGCACTGCGATTTCGAAATTTTCAAAAAACAAGGCACTAAAATTAGAAAAATTGTCTTTCCATGGTGTCCCTTTAATAAAAAAAGTCAGCATTCAGACTTGAGCTTGCAGCACGATAAGAGGAATGCTTACCTTCGAGGCCTTGCATGTCAAGTGAGCTGCCATCAAATGTGACACCCACAATGGATGATGATGCTTGGATGGCCTGAAAAGAGCAAGCCTTCTCAGTGACAGCAGATGTAAGCCTTGAAAGAGAATCCTTCTTTATCAACCATACTTATCTAACACACTGCACTGAGACCTTTTGAATAAAACTTGCAAAGCCTTATTCCACCCACAGATGTTCTCTTACCAGGCCAAGAGCCAACAAAATTCCCAAAGGAGAATCCAGAATTCACTAATAGAAAACATTTTCTTTTTCCAACAAACTTTTGTGAGGTTACTGTATATGTTTTAAATAACACCTGCATAACACCAGAAAAAGCAAGACTATTCCGCACAAGATCAACAATATTCAACTCGAGGAATCAACCGGTGCAACTGCACACAAGCACGGAACAAGGATATTCAGCAATAATCATGCAGCTGCAGAAGAACTGTGCGAAGAAGCATTAGTTGGTTTCACCTTGCCCTGATTTAAAGACTTGTGGCCCAGTAGAAGCTATAAAGTGCGAAATTAATTTTCAAAGTGTGACAAGCACATGTATACTTGCAAACCTTTCGCCAATCGCCTGTATACTAGCAGCGCTAGAAATTGCATTGCACTAGTTTTTACAAACAGGCTTCAATGATCTGATGTAAGACCGAGTGATGTCTGTAACTCGGTAAGTGCCTATAAATGCGAATATTAGAAAGATAACACGAAAAAAAGATAACAGCACATTTTATAAGCACACAATCTCTTTGTGCAATATTTTTTGTATTTATAGGAATCTGTTATAATACAGTTGAAGCCCTTTATAAGAAGCACTGATATAAAAGACAAATGGGTATAAGAGATGCCAGTGTGCCTACAGTAAAATACAGAATGACAGGAAAATGCATATGAGGTCCACTGCTTGTAAGAGATATCTCATATAAAAGATAAGAATTGCTGCCTGGAGAATGCTTCTTATAAAGCGGTTCAACTGTACTGGTACAAAGCCAGGGTGCTCAAAGAGGCATATTTATTTACGCGGCAATAAAACAGAGCAAACTTTTAGTCGGGGTGTTCATCTCCTAGAGACAAAAATGTTATTGACTTCATAACTTATTTCCGTTCGTATCGACAGAAACCTCCGGCAAGCTCAACAATGTCTGTAACAGTACCACAAATGTGGCATTTGCAGTAATGTTACAGGCTTCATTCAGCTTGCCTGAAATTCCACAGATACCTGCCACACCAATGATAACATGCCCTTATGAAACGTTTGCAGAGACTGAGATCATGATGCCAAGGTACCGCAGTGCAGCTGTAAGGTACGATTGTTTTTCATTAGCTATGAACTAGCTGATCATGGGAGTAACATAAAGCATCAGAAGAGAAGCAGCACTATATCGCATATAGGCATGACCAACTTAGCATATTAAATCATTACTTAATAAAACCACATTATTAAAGGGAAAACCTTTTTATGTGCACAAAACATTTCATGAAAAAATTTGAGATAGGAAAGAGTGCACGCTACCAGTTTATTGCTCAGATAGTGGGAATATATATGCACAATCGCATGGGTGAAGATATGAACCAACAAAGAAAAAAATCTCTCCCTATCTTACTGTTGCTCTATGATAATCTCCAACGTTATATGAATTCAGTCATGGCAGCAGTTGTCTTCCCATTTAAAAAAAAAAGGATTCTAAAACAGTCACAGCTGTACTTCAATTGGTAGAGTATCAAATGCATTATTCAAAGGTTGCAGGTTTGGTCCCTATTGGTAGCAAGGCTGTTCTTTCGTATATGTCATTATTAACTACACTCCAGTTGAAGAATATAAATAATGTATCAAATACCTGGCTTCATCTATTAGTTTAATCAAGTTATAAAGTAATTAAACCATAAGAGACAACACAAGTGCTCATCTTCTGAGCATTGCTATTGCAGGCAGACCATGTCCTGCCATTAATAAGTGATCTAGCAGAAGTGGCATATAATGCAGACCGCCGACAGCTCTTGCACTTGAACCAGTGAGAGAGGGTAGCCGAGGAGCTCCAGTGATTTGAGGCTGGTGTTGTGCTTCAGATGTTCGAAGAGAGCAAAAAAGAACTCCGTGGTCAAGACCGATTGCGAACACTGCAGGCACCTGGGAGCCATCTGGCACCAGTTGTACATCAGTATCACGTGCAATGAAAAGCAACACTATTGTAAATGCCGCCTCAAACCTAAGCTTGCATCATTCCGAAGTCTTTAACAAACGAATTATTCCAACGAAAGCATGTGGGACATTATTTATTGCCTTTGACTGTAGTGTAGTAATTGCAACGTATATATAAATTAAGGTGGGTAAAGAAACATTGCCACTGTTGGGGTTCAAACCCAAAACCTTCAAATTATGAGTATGCAGACAGGGTTGGAGAAATAATTAAAGCTATAGAAATAGAATTAGGAATAACTGTCTGAACTTATCGTTTCTAACCCTGTCATAAAAAAATATTCTTTTTACCTTAGCTAATACGTACAGAACACGGCTGCAATATATATCAATTGAAAGATATGGGTACCAATCGTGTAGTTTATTTTCTTCACATTTTTTTTTACTATCAGTATATTTGTGTCCACATGCTGAGAAATAAAACCCGTTGTAAAGCAATGCTAAAGTTTATTGTTTGTCTTGCATTTTGTCAGAATTTTATGCAGATATTGCGTTGTTGAAGTTTTATCTACAGTTGTCTATGCCCTGATCATTTAACGCCTGCCCGACTGCAGAGTTTGGTCGTACCAAATGCCTTCTTTTTTTATCTATGAAAGCTACCTATTGGAGTTGGTGATTCGAGGCATTTTTCCAATGCCTGATCGATACTGTAAATGTGGTCTCTTTTCAGATATCCTGCCCAAAAATCCACTTTGTCCTTTAGTTGATTAAATTCTAAGGTGACGTTAATTATAGCAGAAATTGCCTATGCAACAAGCTTCTGGGAAAAGAGAGAGAGAGCCAATGGGCCTGTAACTTTTCAAATCCTTGTGGTGCCCTTGCTTCTGGATTAGGATAATATCAGCATTATTCCTAGGTACTGCTGGACTCACAGTCAGGAGACATTTTGTATACAGGGTAGCCAGTTGTTCTGTCCACTGTCTTTCAACAGATCTGCTGTCACCTGGTCCTCACCAAAGACTTTGCCTTTTAGCACTCCCTCCAAGGCTTTCTTTACCTCCTCTGTCTTTACTAGCGGGTGTCCGATTCGTCTCGACTACTATATGTTCCATTATTGTCATGGTTGTCCTGGCTACTGTGTGAATCTCTGTAGAGATTCCTCAGCTACTTAAACTGTCTCATACACAATGTTAGTGACATTGCCTTTTTTTTTGTTTTCCAGTGCATACATCTGGTCTTCTTACTGTGCCCAGCTATCTCTTCACCACTTTTAGGCTTTGCCTGTTCTTCAGAGCATGTTCAATTCTATCTATACTATGCCTTCTCATGTTGGCTTCCATATGCCTGTTCATTAACTTCGAAAGTTACGACAGTTTTCTACTCTGTTATTTATTCTAAAGGCTATCATTTTGACGTCCCTTAATGAGGTCAGTTGTCTCCTGGAAAAGCTTGCCAATGTCTACCATATTTGTGTTATAGACTACACAATACTTATTGTTCATGGCGTGAATGCAAAAGTTGCATGCTTTGGTTACAACCAACTACCAGAAAGCTTTGTGCTTGCCTAATGCTTTCTGTAAGCAAACGACTGCTTTCACAATGTTGTCATACATATATTTTCTTGTGCAGGCATTTGCCATTCAAATGACAAACACTAACATGTCGAATGAGGTTAGCTTGTTATAACCAAATCGCAGTCTTGGTATGTACACACTTTTCTTATTGAAGTTTAACATACAAGCAAGGACCACAGTATGGAAAGGCGATAGTGGCTCCAAAGAGGTACTGCTGACTGTTTAGCTGCACCGATTATTCCTTCAAGTAAGACGGTCTATACAACCTTTTGTTTAACATCTTGCTGAGCAACATTTCACGCGCTAGTCCCTAGAGTAAGGCCACCTTCCTACAAAACGCTGAATGCTATTTGTCTCCACAAACCCTACAGTTCAACTTGTAAGTGACCTACCCAAGAGAGTGCGGTGATTGCTCAGAAACGACGACTTGAAGACGACCACCTTGAGAGTTTTGTCTACACGCAGGGCCTCCAGGATTGGCCTCCATTCTTGTTCTCTGATTTCGTCCACACACACATCAAGCGAAGACGCGTCAGCGGACATCAGCGTCACTTGGTTCACGCGACACTTGGCGCACTCTTCCTTGTACACAGCTTGAAAGCTGCAAGAAACTGCATAAGCACGAGAACCTAACTGCGCCATTTTGAAACAAACGTTTTGGCGCGTGAAAATTGTTCATTCGAAGCACTGGTACAGTGGCTGGAATAGGAAAGTGTGATGAGCGGCGACTCAGCCTGACACCTCTTCTTCTAGCCACCATAGTTTCGGCAAGCCATCATCATTGTTGCGAGCTTTACATTTTTTTTGTAAAGGATGATGGCAGCTGCTTTTCAAGTGTGCTTAGCGATAGTTTTGCACAATTTAAGTGTAGCAGGAATGCATTTCAGAAGTTTTCGAATGTAAATGTTGCGAGAGTAGATTATTTGCGCACTCGTGTTTCAAAAATTTCGTTAATGAGGGACTGCGATATGAATATTTTTTGTAGTCGCAAGTTACGAAATGCATTGACTCCTATGGGCGTTCGCCGGTGCTCCAAAAATATTTCTTTGTGGTGAGAATTTCGTTCCCTCGAGATTTCGTTATCGCGTGTTTCGACTACTTATTTTTTTTACAACCATTTTTATTGCCAGCAACTTTGTTGAATATTTTATGCTTGCGTGACGTACAAGGCTGTTGCCCTAAAAATAATGCATTCAGACTACCAAATCACACCATTATGCAAGCATCACCTAACTTTTTTTGAAGTGATGTTGCAACTATAACCACAGGCTGAATGTCTGAATTTTGTGTCAAATGGAACATGAAACTGTAGAAAAATTACCTTTGGTTATATACCTTGATACTAAATATAATTTATAGATACAAGTAAAAAATAAATGATGGTTAAGTATGTTCAGAAAAAAAATATATATATATAGTAGTGACATGTTTTCACGCATTTTATGCTCTTTACGACTCTAACTAAGGAGCTAGTACATAACAAACAAGTTAAAGGTGTAAACATGGGACATTATTCATGAATAGCAAAGCACAAGATGTTCAAGGAGAAAAGTATTTTTGCTAAAGCCCCACACAATGCTTTCAAGGTAGGTGATTTTTTGAATATTTTATACAGCTGAATTGAGTACTATACAAAAGGAGGCTAGAACTAACTAAGCTCCTATTTATTTATTTATTTATTTACAATACCTACAGGATCCCATGTGGGGCATTAGTGCAGGAGGGAGATAACATTTAAAATACATATTTAAAATACGTATACAAAGTAATACATTTCAGAACAATAAACAAAATGAAAAAAAGGAGAATTGACATGTAGGAAAATACACAGCAAATTATGCATAAACACACACAAGCATGCCAGCAGAGATCACTAAAACAAACAAATTTAGGCTTAGACTGCTAGAAAGAACAAACGAAAGTGAAATCAGGCTACGAAAAAATGCGACTTCAAAGCACAACGATGAATGTTTCCCTGGAAGCAGCTACAATTTCTTGAGATAGTTTGTTCCCCTGCTGTATTGATTGTGAAAAAAAATGAATATTTTAAAAACGCTAATTCTAGCAGAAAACTTGTGCACTTTCAGTGGGTGGTTACGAGAAATACCTCTACATAATAAAAAAAAGTGTCTGAAAGCCAATGCAGAAATATAATGAAGACGCAACTTACCTTATGATATCCTTCCATCTAAGAAAGTTAATTTCTTTTGATGGCATCTACACATTTGCTGGAAGGCTGCTAGAGATCATATTTTTATTATTACACCGCGGCAAGTTTTCAGCATGTTGAGCTTGCACATGTACCAAATGACTCAACTTCTGACTTTTTTATTGAGACAGTTGTTTGTAGTAAGAAATGGCTTGTTCAACTCGCAAAAATGCATCGTACATGTCCTCGGCCTGCAGTCCATGCTGTGTGTAGTGATGAAGGTAGGCGAACTTTGTGAATCGGCACCATGCTCGACTTACTAACAAGTCCAACTCAGGAACACAGGCATCACTGTTGCTAGCCAGCAACAGGGTACGAGCGGAACCCATAAATTTGTGAGGATTCATCCATACATTAAACTCACGACCTTCTTCCACAAAAGGTACGCGGCGAGGGGCAAGGTCAGTGGCGTTGAGGGCTGACAGCCCTTCACCCCGTCCAACAGCCAGTGAGGCGACACATGTAAGAGGCCTGTTTTCAGTGCCCATGGCTGCAGAGATAAAGGAGAGAAGGAATACACTTTAACGGCCCTGAACCACTTTTTTTAGTAACCATGGAATTAATTCAATGAAAACGCTTATTGCATCAGAAATTCAACGCCGCAAAAATATTAAGAATCCATCCAGTACAAGCAGAGTTACAAAGATTTGTCACACGCTACAATCGAACTTTCTCTTCTCTCGTTCCGACGAAAGTGCTGGAAGCTAAGAAGGGAGGGTTGGGAGGGGCAAACAAAAAAACGTCACGCACGCCTTGTGACCTTGAGCATTTTTCTCTTTTTTTTTTCTTCGAATACATGGCTTTTTCAGTGCGACCGCGCGTACTCGCGTGGACAAGTGACGGCTTCTTGCGGCGATCTCTGTAACATCCGAGCGCACCATGTTCAAATGAGCCAATGGCTGATAGATGGGCTTACTACGAGTGATTTTTGGGCTCATTGCGTGATTTGTTGAGAGAAGAGAAAGCAATTTCTAGCTGACTTCGATAATTTATTGTGAATTCCAGGCCACATGCTGCGCTATATTATTTGGCTCGCATGTTGTCGGGAGCCTCTACAACCGATCGGTAGCATTTTTGCATTATGCTCAAAGTGCTGCAGGGCCCCTTTAAGAAAGAAATAAATTACTGCAAACCTAAATGCAAAATGTGGTGTTCATATTTTACACCTTCTTTCCACTGAAATTACACCTTTTTTTTAGCGCAAATAGATGCCAGTGAAACCTCTTTTATACTCAAGTTTGTTGCTTTCTGTGTTCAATTAAGTAGATGATAATGATTGATCTGTGGGGTTTAACGACTCAAAACCACCATGTGATTATAAGAGACGGCGTAGTGGAGGGCTCCGGAAATTTCGACCGCATGGAATTCTTTAACGTGTACCCAAATCTGAGCACATGGGCCTTGAGCACTTTCGCCTCCATTGAAAATGCATCAAAAGCAGCTGGGATTAGATTCCGCAACCTGGTGGTCAGCAGCCAAGTACCTTAGCCACTAGACCACTGTGGCAGGGCCCAATTATGTACAGTTGTTAACAGTAGGGATGTGCAACTAGTACTAAACTTTAGCTTTTAATAAAATTAGAAGCAAATGGTGGTTTCATCTAATAATTTCGAATCAAATAGTTCAATCACATACTTTAAAGCAAAATGAGCACATTTGCCGTGGCCCAACTAACCCGAACAATATTTTTAAATATCTGGAAAAAAGCACGTGTGAATATCACTTTTTTGGTTGTCACGCGCTAACCCTAACTCGCACACCACACACTACGTCTTGCCACTCCTTCCAACCAGCCCGAACTCTCCCTTCTCCACACACGCAACCCCAACCACTCCAGTCCCAATGATGATGATGACGCCGTCACGTAGTGCCCTCTCTCGGCCAAGTCCCGATGATGATGACGCCGTCACGTAACGCCCTCTCTCGGCCAACCTCACAGGTCTCCCCCCCCTCAAAATGTGAAGCCACCACTACACATCGCCTGCAGCGTCATGGTACAGTGTCAGCTGATCTGCGTGTCTCACACCGTGGCGACGACCCGTTTTGGGGTCCACTAGAACAAAGTCATTCTGTCCTACACGTCTCACTGCCCGAAAGGGACCGGAACGCCGGGGTGCAAGCTTCGAGGAGAAGCCCTTGGTGGCATCGCTGAGGGAGTGGCTTTCGAGCAGAACAAGATCACCCTCCCGTATTGTCAGTGGCCGCCTGTGCTGGTCGTAGCGAGTCTTCTGGGCGCGCCACATGTGGTTTTGGTGTGTCCTGGAGAAGTCCAGCACCTCCTGCAGACACTTGGAGACCTCAGTAGCAAATGCACGGTATGCTGTTGCAGGAGGCTCCGCGTCATCTTTGGCCTCAGCCTGTGTCCATGGAGTTCTCAGCTCCCGGCCATAACAGAGGAAGGCAGGCGTGTAGCCCGTGACAACGCTTTCAGCCGTGCGCATGGCCAGGGCTATTTCAGGGATGTGCTGGTCCCAGTCTTTGTGGTTGGAACAATAAGCCCTAAGGCACTGCTTGATAATGCCATTGTGGCGCTCCACCATTTGCCCGGCAGGGCGGTACGGAACAGTGTGTCGGTCTTGTATGCCCCAATGCTCAAGGAGGCCCTTCCACAACCTGCTTACAAACGGCTTTCCGTTATCACTTGAAATGGAGACAGGTGTGCCATGTCTGCAAAAAACCTGGATCATGCAGGCCACCACACTCTTGCTGTTTGCTGCCCGCAATGGAAAAAGTTCAATGAACTTGGTGAACTTGTCAATCACCACGAGAAGGTACTTGTGGCGTCGAGGCGTCATAGGCAAGGGCCCAATTATGTCCACGCTGAGCTGTTCCATAGGGGCAGTGGCCCATTGACTGCTCATCAGCCCTTCTGGCTTCTGCCGATGGGCTTTGGTGCGCTGACAAACCTGGCAGCATCGCACATACTTGGATATGTCCGAGCGCATACCCAGCCACACGAAATTCTGAGAAACGCGTGTGAGGGTCTTAAAAAAGCTGGAGTGGCCGCTAATCGGGTGGTCATGGGACAGTCGCAGGACCAAGTTGCAGAGATGGTTTGGTAGCCAAGGTACTTTCCTGTTCCCTCGGTGCTGTACAAGCAACCCACTCTCTTCCATCTCGGTCGTCTCCGCCAGGTCTTTTATCAAAGGTTGATCACTGTCAGTGGGCGGAAGCTTCCCTCCCTTCATCACAGTTCGTAGTTTTGACAGTATGGGGTCCTGCTCTTGTTCCTGGGCGAGGAGCCCTGCATCATTCAAGACAGTAGTGTCGTCCACTTCAGATGCTACAGCAGCTGCCTCAAAGCTGATTTGTGGGCTGGGCTCTGGAACAGCCATAGGGAACAGCGTCTCGTGTAGACTCGGGCTTGGAACTTCCTGGTGCTGAAGGGGAGCTCTGCTCAAGGCGTCGGCTGGCACATTTGCAAGACCCCGCCTGTGCTTGATTCTGCAGTTGAAACCTTGCAGCCGCAAAACCCAACGCTTTACACGTGGTGAGGCCTGGTCTGTGGTGAACATCCAGGATAGTGAGGAGTGATCACAGTGTACCTCAAACTCGGTGAACTCAAGGTATGGTCGGAACTTGTCCACTGCCCACACCACAGCCAGACACTCCCATTCTTGCACTGTATAGCGCTGCTCTGCCTCAGTGAGGACCCTGCTAATGAAGCTTATTGGACGCAGTTGAGCATCACTCTCGGCTGCCTGCAGAAGCACCGCTGCAATGCCGACTCCACTGGCGTCTGTTTCCACCACGAATGGTCTGTTGAGGTCCGGCAAGTTTACAACAACATCGTCGGCCAGGGACTGCTTAAGTGCTCTAAAGGCTTCCTCTTGCTGCAGCTCCCACCGCCAACGTTGCTTTTTCTTAAGGAGTTCTGTGAGTGGACGTGCAGTGATAGAAAACTGAGGTATGGACCCTCTGTAATAGCCTGCTAGTCCCAGGAAGGCCTGCAGCTGTTTGAGTGTTGTTGGTTGAGGATAGTCCAGCACCGCTCGCACTTTTTCCTTGTCCGGCCTACACTGCCCGGGCGATATTTCATGGCCAAGGAACTTAAGGTATTGACAGCACACGTGCACCTTCTCTGGGTTAATGGTCAGCTGTGCCGAACTTATCCGCTTCAACACCTCCCGAACATGCTCAAGATGATCCTCTAGGGTCTCCGAATACACCAGGACATCATCGAGAAACGCCATGGCAAACTGGTGATTAATTCCCTCCAGTAGTCGGTCCATCAGGGTCTGAAACGTGGCAGGACCTCCGGCAACTCCAAAGGGCATTCTCATGAACTCGAAGGTTCCCCGATGGCAAATGAACGCTGTCTTTGGAATATCTTGCTCTTGAACAGGGATTTGAAAAAAACCCTGAGAAAGATCAAAACTTGAGAACCACCTGGCTCGTCCCAGCTGTGCCAGCAACCAATCAGTCCTCGGCATGGGGTAGACTGGCACCTTAGTGCGTGCATTTAGCTGGCGATAATCCACAGCCATGCGGTAGCCACCAGACTTCTTCTCAACCAGGACTGGAGCACTGGCATGCTGACTTTGGCTAGGGCGGATGAGGTTCTGTGCCAGCAGGTCTTGAATGCAGTTGTCCATGATTGCCTGCTTCTTGGAATTCACTGGTCGCAGTTTGCATCGAACAGGTGGGTTGTCTCCCGTGTCTATGCGATGCTCTGCCAGGGTTGTGCAGCCCGGAGTTGTGGTGAAGATTTCGCTGAACTCTTCTAAATGTTTTTCATGCGTGGGTCTAGGTCCGACGAGTGGCCGGAAATGATCACATTGCAGGCTGCAGTCGCCTCCGGCACACTGGCACACACAGTGGCATCGCTCTCAGCAAAAATGCAGCGCAGACTGTCTCCAAAATCATCCACTGCCTCTGGCTGTTCCCTAACGGCCTTGACAAACGGCACAATTCTTTGTGGTTCTGTGCCGACAGTCCACCCACCAAGTGACACGTGAAGAGAGATGCCACTCACCGTCAGGAAATCCCTACCAAGGACAACGTCACGGCACAGGTCAGGAACGCACAAAAACTGCTGTCTGCGGCAACCGGCAGCCCACTCGATCTGGCACTTCAGAGACATGGTTGACTGCGACCAGCCTGATGCCAAACGCAGCACGCGTACGTCTGCCTTGGGTTTGGCTCCAGAAGCTTGGGCCGCCGCCGCGGCGTGTGGTCCGAAGAAGCTTACACTTGAGCCTGTATCTAGCAGGGCCTTGAACGTCGACGACCCGATACGGACGTCCATAAGGGGCTCTTTGCCACCGGCTGTGGTCGCTACTTAGTGCGCACTGCCGTAGGTGCCCGCCGGGGCAGCACCTACCGCCACTGGTTTCCCGGGCACTGTGCTTGCAGGTGACCCGATCGCTGGCACCGGAAGCAAACGGGTGGCCCCATTCGTCGACCCGTGGCACAGTTACGAGATATGTGGCCGAATCCACCACAGCGATGGCACTGCACACGCATTGCTCCACTCGCGGGCTCCTGCCGCGGCATCGGTCCTGGCCCGTAGGGTGAGAACGGAGGCGCTGTGTCGCACGAGTACTGCCGGTCCCGGCAGTACGACGGGTCTAGCGCAGCTGGATGCAGTGGCCAGTGATAAGTCGGCGGTGCCAGTGGGGCAGCACCAAACGAAGCGAACGACGCCGTCGCCATAGTGTTCGGCTGCGGCAGTGAGCGATGGTCGGGGGCCTGGCTAGGGCGGAACGCCAGATCTCTGGCTACTTGGTTGCTCGGAAGTGGCGGTGGTCTGTACTGGAGGCGACGCCAAGCCCGCTCCATTAGGCCGTCGGCTGCCTTCGCCAACTCGGCGAGGTCGTTGTAGGCATGCCCCTCCTCCAAATCTTGCAACTGAGGGTGCATCTGCCTCAGTACGCGCTGCACCTTCTCGGCTTCGGAGACCTCTTCCCCGATGCGGTTGTAAAAAGTAGCGATCGCATATATAAACTCTTTCAAATTTTCTTCCGGGTGCTGCGTGCGCTGTTCGAGCTCCGCCTTCAGGCGACGCTTCGCGTCAATCGACGAGAACTCGGAGCGGAAGGCGGCGGTGAATTGCTCCCACGAGTGGAACCCGCGCACGAACCGCCACCACAACTTCGCGCCACCCTCGAGGGCAGCCGGTACCACGTGTGTCAGTCGCTTATCGGCGGCGACCCCCGTCACGAGGCAGAAGTTTTCCAAACGTTCGAGAAACTCCTCCGGCGACTGCAAGTCTCTAGCACCGGAGTAGCGGGGGAAGGTGCGCAGCGGCGAGCCGAGGCGCAGAGTCGTCGGTGGCCCGAGGGGCCGCGCCAGTGTTAGCGGCCCCAGTCCATGCTCCCACGTGCGGAGCCGTGGGCAGCGGCGTCGCCATCACTCGATCGCGCACGACCGCCGCGATTCATTCGCGCTCCATGGCGGAGCCGTCGGTGCCCAGCAACAGCTCTTCAACGAGACCTTGGAGCCTAGGCATGTCGTCCGCTGCTGTTGTCGGGCCTGAAGCCATCCCGGACGAGCCCCCACTTGTCACGCGCTAACCCTAACTCGCACACCACACACTACGTCTTGCCACTCCTTCCAACCAGCCCGAACTCTCCCTTCCCCACACACGCAACCCCCACCACTCCAGTCCCAATGATGATGATGACGCCGTCACGTAGTGCCCTCTCTCGGCCAAGTCCCGATGATGATGACGCCGTCACGTAACGCCCTCTCTCGGCCACCCTCACATGGTACATAGTGATGTGGAGGTAAAATCTGAATTTCTGAAAGATGCCAGTGATAACTAGAAAAATACATTTAATTTGAAAATTGCTTATGCTTAGTGCAATTACGCCAGTGTAATAGGCTTTTAAACTTAAAACACAATCGATGCGAGGATACTATGTTAATTTATAGTTAAAGTGAGTGCACATTTTTTCTGGATAGATGTTTTCATGGCATAGAATTCTTATACTACAGCGAAACCAGCTTTAGAGGGGGATTACATGCAGTCTATGCCTATTTGTTCATTTTGAATAATTGCAATTCATGATGAAGCGACTTCGAATACGGTAATATTCGTTCGAATATTCACACATTTCCAGTTTTGAGCCCTCTATTGCAGACTAACTAAATAGCATCCGAGTATACTCAGCAGGCTTAACGAGCTATAAGGGTGACAGTGCTAACCTTCATCAGTAGCACTGTGGCAGTGCTGCATCTTGCTGAGCGCCCGCACCAGACTCTGCCAGGAGCTACAGCTGAAGGCTGTCATTGTAGGTGGCTCCTGGGGCACCTGCAGCAGACTCACTTGCTTCACAGATCCAAAACATCCCAAATCAGCAGCAACGTCTCCTGCAAACATTGAGAAAAAGCTAAAATATTAACAAACAACTGAGTGAACTTTAGTGTGAACTGGTGGCAGTTAGCAGCCAGTAATTAACATTCAATGCCAAAGTTATTGTATTGCAGAAAATAAAGTTAACTGCTTTTATTCAACTCCATCATCTTTATTTAACAAATACTGCTTTAAACGTTTGGTGAAAATGAGGCCAGAAATTACTTCTTGCAGTGGATAAAACAAAAAAGTGTGTATAAACTATTTTCTGCCGCTGGTTAGTGCAATTAAATAAGGATGGCCCTATTGGCACTGCGGCCTTGTAGACCCTAGAACGTGACTATGGGAAACGCTGCTCAATATGTCTTCATCCACACCCTATCACCTACTCGGAGTTTTAATAGTATCTACACGCACACGGACAACTCATAGCAAGCAGATGGCACTGCTGGAAAAAGACGACATGGCGGCACCCATCAAAGGGGGTTCTCTCTACCTCAGACTTATAACACTGTCATAGTACAGTGTGTGACCCGGAAGTTCGAAACCTATGCTTTTACGTATTTGTTTCATATTTGCGTCCTGAAGTTTTGAGAACCTTGAATTTCTCATGTGAACAATGATCTGAATAATAAAAAAAAATCTGATGCTTTACTTTGAGCACAATATCGCACAAAGCCAAAGCCGATTTCATAATTTATTAATTTCTTACACGAAAGTGGGCGAATAACAAGCGTAAGTTTGGATCGAAATGGGTGGTTGCGTCTTTATGGGTGCACTCATGTTGATTTATAACCACATTAAACAATAGTTACAGATACAACAATTAAAGCAACCTGGTGTATATGCTAAGCAGAATAAACATATCACACTCAGTAAAATAAACATATCATGCAGTGCTGTGGCCTCCTACGTGCCAAACAAGCACAGGTGTCTCAAGCTTGTGAACGTTTAGGCAATTACATTTAGAACTACATTCTGCTGCGCAAGCATGCGACTTGCTTACAGTCTGCTGTAACAAGTTAGTAGTACGTCTATGGCCAATGCACTGTCCCGAGGCCAGTCATGATTATGTGATTAAACATAGCCATGCCTGTGTGCCTCTGCAGAGAATTGTCGACAGGCACAACTGACAGGAAGGAACGTGAAGATGCAGCAGATACGTACATTATTACTCATATTGAGCTCTTCAAGGCAACAATTTAAGGGGGGACGATGAGGGTCTTAAAATTGTAAAAGCACAAAATTGTAAAAGATGCTGACTTGCGAAAATTGTAATTTTAGGTACTTGTAGTCGAAAGTATGTTTTGGAAAAATTTTATATCATGCCAAATACCATTTCTTTTTGTTAAAAACTTTATATATGAAATTACAAATGTTTTTTTAAAACTAGAAACAATTTTCTTGACATTATTTTTGTGAAGTGAATCTGCCTAACCGAAGTTATGAGGAAGCTTCTGTGAATACATCTAAACAAACTTGGAACCATTCTTTTCCACAGCACTTGAATACAGGCTAAAGCTTTTTTTTCTATTTCAACCTTGATATAATTGTAATTATAAGATAAATACCAGCTAATTACTGGAAGCTCATTTTTACCTTCCAAGTTTAAAAATTATTTCTGATCAAAGAAATGGCCGATTTGACAACTAGTTTGCTTTAGCCTGTGGGATGAACGTTTTAGAGAAAACATGTACCTTTGAAAACTAAATTTTTTTATTGTGAGTTAGCATAACCACCCGTAAATAATTACATAACTAATGCAAAATCTGTCATTACTTTTTTTATAAATCAGATATTTGAAATTCTTTTGCAGATATCAAATGTCTATTCAATGGTACGAATGCATAGTAATTTTCATTAAAGTAGGATAATAAATAACTTCATTTTAAGACCCTTGACTCCCCTCAAGACACATATCAATTAGCTGACAGAAGTGCTTAATAAAACTTGCCAAGGTATTTGAATGGTCCATACTTGGCTTGGCTGGGTTGAAGCAAGCAAGCCAAGTGTCTGGCAGCCAATGCATTCATCTCAACCAGAGAGGCGCTACGAAGTGCCCACCGCTGGGTGACTACTCGGTGCAGAGAGTCATTACTTAGTACAAGCAGGGCATCTGCAGAATCTTGTAAATGTGCCAGAGACAGCAGCACATTGTACGCCTGCACTGCCACTTCTCCAGACTTGAATGGCCACACCACCTGGATGAACATTTGCAGTTTAACGTGCTTAACATAGCGCACTTGAAATATGTTTCAGAGCCTAGAGAAGATTCCTGAGCAAGAGATGCATCACTTGAAAATTAGCTTACAGTAGCTATATTTAATATATATAATACTACATATAGTGTGACATGCACTATGCCTGCATAAGCAAAACAATGAACACTTATACATGAATGTAACAAAGCAAGACAAAAGAGAATTGACTGCTATATTGAATGGAACTAATTACTAATGGATGCTCATGCAGGAAAACAACCTTGTAAAATCTGTTGAAAGAAAACACTCAGGTTCAAGATTGAATAAAATAAAATAAAATTGATGTTTAAAGGCTTTTGTGGGTTTTCAGCTTGCACTGAATATAAGCATGAAAGAGATGCAATTACGAATAAGTTAGGTGCTGCAAGGTAGAGGTGCGTGCATACACACAATATCTCGAGTTTGGTTGATAGCGTGTTTTGTTAGTTGGAGGCACAAAGATTCGAAGAGCAATCGTAAAGGTAGGTCCTCCTCTGTCGCGGGTAAAAATGTAGCATCCCCATCAATTACATGGTTAGCAGAAAGGTCTATTGAGGTTTTATGCGTTTTCCACACATTTGCTTACCTTCTATTTATGCTGTATAATCTTTCTTTCATCAGAAACTATACATAAAATATATTGCACTAAGAGCACCTGCTGCCAATGACATTGAGCCAATTGCAAGCTGCAAATGCAGCATTCAGGAGAGGTAGGAAAACAAATACTACACATCAAATAACAGGAAGGTATGCACATACAAATCAGGGAAGGAAATCCGTGTATAAAAGGCACTAGAAAAAAATCTGTTTTTTTCATAGAAAGGGCTAAGAGAGTCCTCAGCAATTGCATTATTTGGATTTTCCCACTCAAGTAATTCAACAAGCAGAAATGTTGTTTTAGGCAAATACCAAATTAGTGTGCAATATGGTTGCACATTTAAAATTAAGGGTCATTGCGAGTGAATTATAGGGGAGAATATCATGTAGTGCAAAAGCTATCTCACAGTCTCTTAAAAACTATGATGGACAGTTGCCATTACTTAATTTTGTTTTTCCGCTTAACCCTTTAATGCCTGAATTATGAAACTGCTAGGCTTGTGGGAATATTGGAATGCTTCGAATATTCGAACGAATAGTTGAGTATTCGAATTTGCTTCAATTTGAATTTAAATTATTGAATATTTTCGAAGTATTCGCAATGAACAAATAGGTGTACATTAGTCCGCACGTAACCGCCTATAAAGATGGTTTCACTGCAATGTGTGAATGCTGAACTGTGAAAGCACTTATCCAAAGATAACGCACTTTGCCGCGAAGTCCTCCTTCAAATTTAAATGGGCCCTGCAACACTTGCTGAGCATGGTCAGAAAACGCTGCCAATCGGTAGTGGAGGCTAGCGAGAACACGAGAGGCAAATATTATAGCGAAGTACGTGGCCTGTAATTCGCAATAAATTTTCAAAGCAAAAAATTGGCCCTGTATCTGCATGTTACACCGCAAATGTCGTCAAAAGACGATAGTTTTGCGTCTGGAGAGAGTGAATAAAACATTTTTTTGATGTTCTGCGCAAAAAGATCGGTGAATGGTATTCTGAAGGCGCTGTGTTAGAGTGCCTCGAGCGTGCAGCGGAGGCGAACGAGCGCATCAAGTCACATCACACGTGAGACATGAGCGCTACCTGGCAGTTATCCTGGAAAACGGGGTGCGCGCCCGTCTCTGAGGTGATAAGCTGTAGAACACAAGGCGACGGGTAGGTGCCACCACCGTGTCATCTTAGCAAAGCGTTGGAAACACTTGCCGTTTCATGCAAGCGTTGCATGGCCAGCACAGCGTTATAAAGGCTACGATCCTTAAAATTACTTATGTATGTCTTTTCTAGTAAAAACTACATATACATAATAATGGTGAGTTGTTATGATGCCTCAGATAAGCGCAATAATTGCTTTTTTTTAAATGACAAATGCACAAGTATGAATGCTGAACCTTGAGCAATATTGGTGGGCGCTGCGGATGGGGTCGGCCGTTTGGAGTATCGTTTGGTCACTTTGATGCCGTTTGGGGTACCGTTGAGGGTGGACAAACAAACAAATTCACAGACAGGCAGACAGACCAAATGTTTGCATCGAAGGCCCCCAAAAAAGACTATCGTCTTTAAAAATTGCTTTCTTCCCTCGGCAAATGACACTAGGAGCTCAAAAATCACTTGTCACAGTCAATCACCTGTCACAGTTAAGAAGGAATATACGGCTCTGGTCACAGCTATTGGCCGATTTGAGCATGGCGCGCTTGTCGTTGCCCGGGCTGCTGCAGAAGGCTGCCACTTGTCCACGAGCATGTGCGCGATCACACTGAAAAGCCGCGTATTCGAATAAAAAAAAAAAAGGTGCTCAATGTCACGAGGTGCGTGTGACGTACATTTCTTTCGCCGTGCCATTCCTCCCTGCTTAGATTCCAGCTATTTCGTCGGGATGAGAAAAGAGAATGCAATTGAAGCGTGCTACAAATTTTTGGAACTCTGCTTGTGCTGGACTGATTCTAGAAACTTTGCAGTGGTAAATTTGTGAGGCAACAAGCATGTTTACTGGCTCCATGGCTCTTTGAAAAAGTGTTGCAGGGCCCCTTTAAAGGAACATGTTACCGTCAAATCAATTCTTCATTTTATTACGTTTTTTATGACAGTTTAAATGCTCCAAGTATAATAAATTTCAAAGCGTTAAGCATCTTATCACTCGCATCCTACCCAAACTACTACTCAAAGTTGCTTCAACTTCCATTGAACGAAAAAAAAAAAGACATTTGCATAGAGCCCCTATTTCAATTCAAAAGAAATATTGTGCCAGTTAGTTACGTCATGATAAATATTCCCTTTTTTTTATATGTCATACATACCATTCAAATTCGAAATTGTTCGATCAGAATCACTATTCACTTTGAATTCGCTTCAAACCTAAAATTCACTACTCGCACAAGCCTAGAAATGGCTGAGAAAATAAAAATTGTTTTCATTTTCAAACTTTAAATAGCAACCTTTGAATAATTCCGTGCACACCTAAATTATCTAAAATGCACCTTTAATACATACTTTTATGTATGTAGTGAATTTTCCACATGCCCCAGAAGCGAGTACCTTGCAATGAAAAACATGCTTCAGACCTACACAATATGTCGTGTGCCATGGTCTTGAGTGCGTACACACCAATAAAAAAAATAATTGAAAATGGAACTTGCATCAGCCAGGCGAGAAAGAACGAAGAAGTTAGCACTCTCCATCATCAGCTATGAAATTGGTTCTAGCATACATTACGCAACATAGCATTAGATTTTTCATGCTGAAAGGCACGTTCCCCACGAGTAGTTGACAGGAGGCATTAATGGTGGCATGCACTCTGTGACTTGCTTGCTCAAACTTTTTCGGTACGTCACGAATTCCCGACACCAGGCAGTAAAGAGTTAAAGGCCCTGTGGCATTTCATAAAGGGCAGGCTTCATTGTATGCAGCCTCAATGGAAAAGCTAAGAAAGAAAAGATCGCCCTGCATTCAACCCAGTCTTACTCCAATTGTTGAATGCAGGATGGCCAGGTGTAGCCGCCTCTGGAAACTGTCCTAGCGGAAAAATAAGGTTAACAATTTTATTCAACCAAGGACTGATTGTAGGATACAATTCAAGAAGGCAGTAGAGAATTTCCCTAGATTGTAGAAGTATGATCACCGACTGCCCCTGCAACCAAGCAAGTCAGGAGCTGGATCATGAGCTAGGAGCCTAATAGCTGGCTCAGGACTCATGGTGCCAGATATTCATTCACCTTTGAGAATGAAATTTTGCTGCCTTCTAATGTTGTACTGAACTGTAGTATACTTATTCATAGGAATAAAATAAATTCTCCAGCCACTTTTAGTCTAAATCTTCTAATGCTAAAATTAAAAACTATGAATCGACCCAATGTTTCCGTACAAAAGGTGGACATCTTCGACAGATCTCTGTTCACCTTTAAAAAAGTATACTAATATATACAGCACAAGTATTGACATATAGCGCATCTACTTACCGCTGTTACAACAGGAGTCTTTGGATAGTTGTCTCTCAGGGTCTCTGTGAGTTTGGTTCCCAAACCGCTGCCTGTCCCGCCAGCAAGAGAAAAGATGGGCAGGAAGCCCTCCAACCAGTCCCGTTGCTCGGCATTGCGCCTCACAAGGTTGCAGATCTCGTCCATGCCTTTCTCAGCTTGTTCGAAATAACCCAGTGCCCAGTTGTTGCCAGCACCCTGTGAACTCGTGTAAGCTGCACCACTGGCGTAGTGCCACTTGTCGCTGTAGCAGGCATCCTTCAACACTCTGCCGACGGCCTGCGATGCCAAGAAAATGACACTTTTTGGGAGAGAAGGTCAGCATTTCAGTTATCCATTTTTAAATTACATTCATAAAATGTACTTGTGATATGCAAGTGTGCCATAATGTCAGCAAGTATAGCAGCAATCATCAGGCAGTCTCACGGGTGTACCAAGGAAAACATTTTGAAAGATTTGGGCAATTAAGATGTTAATGATTTCTTCAATAAAAAGGTGATAGTATTTATTACACTTGTAGAGCCCATTCAGCCTGCCCTTTGGCTCTTCTCTTATGTTTTCCCCCTCAGTGAAACACACTAAGAAACATGCTGCCGTCCCAAGTGAAGCTGTTTCTCGATTACCCATCTGTGTTTTAAAGACATCTATTTCATTTTCACTGTTCATAGCCATAGAGTTACCTAAAATTACCTCTGGTGCTGCGATCGTTCAGCGACCATGGGAATGACGGGTAGTTCACGGATTTGCCTAGTCTCCGTACTTGGAGGTGGCACATGTGGCTTTGTTCATCAATGTGCTTCAGTTTTGTTTCAAAGAAAAGAACGAACCCTTTTGAACTTCGAGACCCAATATTAAATGGAAAGCCTAAAAGAGAGATGTGGTGCAGTGCAACCGCTGAACATTTGCCGATTTTTGTTTCGTGAAAAAACATCTCCAAGCCACAGGAACACACATGGATCCAGAAGTACGAAGATTAGACAAATCTGTGTACTGTTAAGTTTGGCCTGGAAATTCATCTGGGGAGACGCCATGGTGCGTAAGCCGGTCCACTGGAGAGGCTCTCAATCCCTTCGGTACCCAGTCTGCCAGACGCTGTCGAAGATTTGAGTAATTACCCAGACCATGTGACAAGCGAAGGCGAGTTCCTGACTTTCAACTACGGACCCTTTTGTCGTCTCTTGGAGCAGAAGCGATGACTGATGCCCTCGGCGACTCATCGGGCGACGGGGAAGCTGGCGTGACCGGCGCCAGAGCTGACGGGGGAGCGGCGCTCTTTTAATCCTCAATTAAGTAGCCGACCGGCCGACTGCCAATGCCCGCCAGGCATTGTCCCTGCTCGCCGGAGGATGAGACGTCGTGTCGCCTTGACATCGTAAACAGTTCCAGAGAGGACAACAAAGGCAGCATCTTCCTTGGAAGAGACCGTGGCGGCCGCCGCAAATCGCCCCGCTAATTAAGCGAACAATTCGGCGGACCCTTTGATGTATGCTGTCAGGATCGTGGGAACTCTCGACTAGCGGCACACACACGATGAGGAAGAGCCCTGCTGGTGCCAGCTTGCAGTGCAGTGTTCACAACTCAATATTGGACGTTCCTGTAGACCGTGCATGCTCGTCCCCCTCACCTGTTGTGTGTGTGTGATTGGTGTTTCACTCGGAGAGGAGGAGCCCGACAGGGCTTAAAACGACACCGCAGAGTGTTGGACGTCGCTCTGAACTATGTAACGGTTCATCCACCACGCTAGTGGTTTGTAAAACCACTAACCTTTCTTTGCTATAAATAAGTGTAAATAGTGTCATAAACCTGTTTGTTTTCGTATCCTCTTGTCAGCGTTCATTTCCTCCACCCGGTTACACCACGCTACCACAAGAGACCGGGTAGTCCCCCATCCTTTACAGTACTACCCATCATTCCCATGCTCGCTGAAATACCGTGCGTTGCTTGGTGCAATGTATTGTGCCGACGTCCATAAATTACATGCGTGATAGCCACATCTCAATGGGACCAAAACACAATAACACTCGAGAATGATGTGCAGTTACCATGTCATTGCTTCTTCCACCCCCCCCCCCCCTTTTTTGCATTCACTTGTGTGCACTCTTTTGTGACGATGATAAGGAGTAACATTTGCACCAAGCGATATGGCACCAAACCACCTTCCATCTGCCTCCCATCACTGAATACCTGAACATCAAGTCGAGCCAGGCCCAAAAATGGCAGCTTTTGGTCAATACCAACATTCGGCTTAAAACTATTGATGCTATCAACGTTTTACGATTTAAAGTACTACAACGATTTTACACACCTTCCAAGGATTTTAAAGCATGTTCCAGGGATTTTTAGCCCAGCCATTGCCCAGCATACACAGCATCCTTAGGTGTTAGCTCCTATCCTAGAGTTTCATAACCCCTAGGCAACGGGAGTCACGATTTACAGTAACAAAGCCTGCGGAATTTGATATAAGTCTGTATGCACAGAATAAAAATACACGAGAGCACGAACACAACTAGCTAGCTAGATGTTTTCGAAATAGTAGCATATCAACAATATTTGCACCAGTAGGCGTGAGCACCTGGTTCCGCCCGTGGGGGAGGCGAAGATTTGTCGCCCCCCTCTCTATTATAACCATGTATAGAGTTGACCTAGCACCACAACCTCCCCCCCCCCTCCTCCCTCCCTAGTCGCAGCCCCGCTTCCCGATTATGCCAATATACGGGACTCCCCTTGCGACCCCAGCCCCCAGTGGGCACGTCTATCATCTATGCTTGCACTACAGATATCGATGAGCTAACCTTTCTTTCCGTGTCAACCAGGACGGCACTAGCAATAAGGCCACCTTGGCGGTCAACAGTGAAAAACCTGCGAAGAGAAATTATAATCCAGCGACACTGGTGCTGCCAAAAAGAACAGCACTGCGTTGGCAGGTCACTCACCTCTCTACCGACGCGCTGTAGTACTCGCTGTCGCGGCACGACTCGGGCTCACCAACGCCTACGTCTTGCGCCAAAACGTTAAAGAACTCAAAACCCAGTTGATTGCCACACTGGCCGATCTGTAAGGTGAGTAAGCTCATGTTTGTTACCACTGAACATGACCCCCTCTAGTTTATAGAGGAGGTCGTGTACCATTGGTCACGAACCTCAAAGCAACCGCGATGGTTTCAGTATCGAAACTAAGATTAGTGCATTTTTAACTCAAACTCTTTGCCCTTGTAAGAGTCACCGCTGAACATCTTTGTAAAATTTAAGCTGAAATTATAAAGTTTAGGTGTTAATCAAGTTTATAACGTAAGTTGCACTACTAGCTTTAGTAAACACACTAAATTTAAGTTATCATCATCATTATTTTAAGAGTTTGTTAATTGTGGAGTTAAAATAGCAACCCTCACACGGAGGTCACGTTTTGTATTTCCAATAAATTTATTTAAACAAAAGGCGAGTCGCTAACGCAACCTAATCACGTTTTCGACCACAATCGAAGCGAAGATTGCCCACTACGTTGCACGACTAACATGCAGTGCGCGAGGGTGGCTACATTTAATTTGTTTCTGTGCCTCTCGTCTTTGGTTTTCTGGCTGAACTTTCAACGTCATGTGCCGCATGCACTGCAAGAAGATTTAGACAGGTGATTCCTATTCGAGAAGATGAGAACGGGCTGCCGTCAAAAGCCTTGGCACGCTCAGCGTTGAATTCGCTCAAGGATCGAGGGTACGTTTAACGAGTGCACGTCTGGAATCTTGGGAACAGCAATTTCACTTTGCTTCGTACGCAGATTCTGCCGGCCTATGAAGCCGTACAAGCCAGCTGAAGATGTGAAGGACAAAGTTAAGGTCGTCTACGAAGAAGTGCTTGGACAAAAGGCAGACAGCGCGTGGCTTCAGACACCCATCAACGAGCCCCTGCTTTAGTTTAGGGTACGTCAGTTTAGTTCGCCCAGTCTGCGTAGCAGCCCCGGTTTGTTGAAGTGCATTATATACTTTTCTAAGATTGATCTTTTGAGAAGGCTTTGCAGTGAGCCCTTTGGTCATCTTTAGCGTTTGCAAGGATCAATAGTTATGCAAAATGAGCTTTAAAGTGCTCTTAGTTTTCCAGTACGAAGTGCATCAAATTATTTTTTAAGACGTTCATGCATTGTGCTTGACTTACCTTTTTGCCTCTGTACTTATGCCATTTGCTTGAACTTACTTAGAGTGTCCTTTTTTGTGTGCTTTTCCGTAGTTGCTGACGAGGTGCATCAGTGAATTTGGCCACGACATCCCAAGCTCGGAGTTGATGAATGTAAAGTGCGTTGATGATGTAGTGGAGTACTTCTCCACACCTGTTGAAGGACTGTCCCCTTATGAATCTTTTGTCCAGCGCAAAGATCAGCTGCCCAAAAATCTCCATGTCATCCCCAACTACGTTCGCTTCAACCCCGAGACGGACACTTTCTTTGGCGGTGTAAATGCCTACCCGGGAACATCGACTATCGTCACAGGCCTCAAGGCCAAAAAGAAGTTCAAGGGTTACACTTCCAGTCCAACGTGGCCATACATAACCACGAGCACATAATAAATGTCGCAGAGGTCTTGCAAACTATCCTTTATTGTTTTTCAACCATACGACAGCTTGCTGTACTGAGAAACTGAATTGAAGTAAACTATCAGCCTAGCAACAAATACAAGTACTGCAGTCTACATGCACACATATGCATAATGGTTTCATTTTGAATGACTTAGATCTTGAGAAATGCATAATTGTGTACAGCAAAGACAGCAAGTAAACAGGCTAGGCTCCTGCAGAGTTTCTAAAGTAGTACAAGATAGCTTTCTTGTGTGTGAAGCATGCCCTTATACAAATTCCAGCGAATTAAGCTTCACAATGTAGACACCATATTTGTTCATAAACAGTCAACAAGAACAAATTATATCTACAGAGTGCAGGATTGTCTATATTGTAACCATATATGGTAAGCATACTGCACGGTAGAGATAAAAAATCTGCATAAACCAATAGGAATGTCGAAATTACAGCATATGATTTGCACTAATTTGTGCAGCTACGCATATGCTGCTGGAACAGAAATAGTGCAAATACCTGCAGTGTACAGCTGCTGCATTGCAACCTATTGCAGTGAGTATTTATATAAAAGTATAGTGCATACAGTTAAAAAATCCCAAAATTTCAAAATTAAATATCGCTAAAACGTGCCAACCATTCAGTTTTTTCTTCAGCGAATATTTTTGTAGAAGCTGTACCGGTCGGTCTTTCATTATCAAGTACAAGTGAGCATGTATCACATTGATGTATGCATGTATGTACACATAGAATTGCACACAGTCGGTGCATTGGCAGCTTGAGAACTATGCATGTAGTGCTCGCATAGACCAGCCTAGAGAATGGTCATGTTCATTTGAAGAATCCCCTCCTGGTGCTTTTTTCTGATCCACCCTGCATCAAAATAAATGCAATGTGACTGGAGTGTTGCACTAAATTCGCTAATCTTAACTGTGCCATGGCCAAATCTCACTTATCCAGGAAGTTTCCTTCATGACTGTGTGCCACAGACTAGCAGCAGCCGTGTTATTGCTTTAGTGCAACTGATGCATTATGAGTGGACAGCACAAGCTTCAAAAAGAAGTCATTCTATAATTTTTTATGCGGCCATATTTTTTTGAGCATCTGTGAAAGTGCGACTTACTCACGTTCTAAAAATGGTGTTACAGACTTAAAGAGGCCACTGTCCAATTTCAAAATGCAGCATATTCATGCAATATTCATCTGGGCCATTTTTAGTGCACAAATGCCAGTGTAACGCATTATACCAGTCATGTTTTACTGCATTATATAAGTATTACAGCTATACTGGTCAGGCCTTATTACCAGCGAAGTAATAATAGTGTTTATCTGCCTTAAACCAATGTACATCGCAAGTAGAGGTTTCCAGCAGAAAATGATAGCACAGACCTGAGAAAGAAAGGTACTCGTATGACACATCTGAATTATGTGCGCCATCATCACTGCTGTCCATCGCATTGTTTTCTGTAGGAAGCGTTCCTTTGCCTACCAGCTAGGTGTTTGCTGTACTAAGACGACACCACGCATGTGCATTTTAGATTTCTGTACCTGTAAGAGTGTGGCCATGATAGCTGAAAATGAACCTCCTGCTTGCCAACATAATACAGGAACCAATTTAACAGCAATACAGGCACCAATTTAACAGAGCTACAGTAAAATTTCAATATAAAGAAAAATATTTGAATTCAATTCTATAAATAGTCCCACAAAATTGTGTACGGCATTTAATCTATTGTAACACGAGAGTCAACTTTAAGTAGTGAAACTATTAAAAAAAAAACTCGTAACTTTTGAGTAAATACAGTATATTAAAATAAAAGAACTGTCATAAATTTGAATTCTTAGAACCGCATGGTTATTTCAAATGAAAGTTATCTTGCCTACATTATTTCAGGAAAATGTCATCACTAGGCTTGTGCAAATATTCGAAGACTTTGAACATCCTAATGAACAGTACAGTACTCGAATTTGCTTTGATTCGAATATAAATTACTAAAAACTTTGAAGTATTCGAAACAAACGAATAAATGCACATTAACCCGTGTATCATCCTTGTAAAGGTTGTTTCACTGCAGTAAATGGGTGTCAAGCCATGAAAACACCTATCCAGGAAAAATCTACACTATTGCGAAGCCTCATTTCAAAGTTCAATGAACATATTAGTCTCGCATCAATTTATCATGCCCATTTTATCAGTTAAAAAGCTTGTTATTCTGGCTTATATGCTCTAAGTATAGTAAATTTTAAAACAGCATATTTTACAGTTATCATTTGCATTGTACCGGAAGGCAAATTCTGGTACTGTTCAAGGTTGTTTCCACTTCCTTTGAGGCAAAAAGAATGGCATTAGCACAGGCCTTGT